CTGAGAGTCCCAGTCGCCAGTTGTCATAGAAAGAGACCGCCTAAGAGTCCCAGTCACTAGTTGTCATAGAAAGAGACCGCCTGAGAGCCCCAGTCACTAGTTGTCATAGAAAGAGACCGCCTAAGAGTCCAAATCACCAGTTCTAGAAAGAGACCGCCTGAGAGTCCCAGTCACCAGTTGTCATAGAAAGAGACCGCCTGAGAGCCCCAGTCACTAGTTGTCATAGAAAGAGACCGCCTAAGAGTCCAAATCACCAGTTGCCATAGAAAGACCGTCTGAGAGTCCAATCATGGCTGGGAGGATGATATTAGAACAGATAGAAAGAGATGTTGAAGATGCCGACGTGATTGAACTGGCTTGTGATAAGTTCAGTGGCCGATTTCTTGTGATGACACTGATAAGCCTTCGCGGTTCTTGACAGCTGAATAAGTACAGTTTCCGAAGGAAGACGGAGAGAGTTCGTGATTGATTGACCGTCGATATGACTGCTTTCTGACTTACTGACTCAGTGATTGTCTGACTCTGAATGCATTTTTGAGGAGTTCTGCGTTCTGAATGCACTGGAAGTCAGTGGACAGTTTGAATCTGAAGTGACGTGAGGAGAGCCAAGCTTTTTGTTGGAGTTAGCCGAACATAACCCTTTTCCTTAGCTCAGTTTATCACCGCGGGGGCCCGGGTTCAGTCCCCAGGGCACTTCATTGGAGATTTGGGACGGACGGAGTGGCACTGAGGCAGATTTTTCTCGAAACATTCGTTTTACCTTGCTATTTATTAATCCACAAGGCCGCGCCATAGCTCAAGCGGTTAGTCGCTGGCTTTCCATCTTGGCGGCCCGGGTTCGATCACGGGTCTAGTGGGATTTGTGGTGGACATAGTGGCGCTGGGGCAGGTTTTCTCCTAGTACTTCGGTTTCCCCTGCCAATCTTCATTCCACCAATTGCTCCACGATCACCCTCACCTATCATCTGAGGTGGGTACAATAGGCCAGAAGTGGCCGCAGTAAAAGGGACCTAGTCCCACCCCACTAGCAATAAAAAAAATATATTAATCCACAATGTTTCATACTCATCATCCGGGGCTGGTAGAATGGATCATTGCCTAGAGACTGTCTGGCTCCACTTCCGCGTTTAACAAGAAAAACGGAACACGTGATTAAACTTGGACAGTGAGTGCGATGTTTTGAACGCTGCATTTCCATTGGCGTTCCTACTTAAGCATATTTACATATTTCTGTCTCAATGACGTTAATGAGATAATCACAGCTTGGTATGCAGATTTATGCTGGATCATTTCCTGGTTTCATTGTGACTCAGTAAGTTGTGACACAAAACGGTTTCTTATATTATGCCCTAATACTTCGCAGCAGTGGAATTAGTGGAGTCGTCTTGGTGCACAATCCGTCTGCTGTTTTGGGGGATTTGATCGTCCTTTTCGCATTTTGTGAACTTTCTGCACTTGATGTTTCCGTTGTCAGGTCCTCGTCAGGTGAATGCTTATTCCGTATGATTATGAACCTTCATGAAGACAGACATATAGCAGAAAATTGTGTATCATCTTATCTACTACTATTCGGTTGATAGAATTGGGACATGTAGCACGCATGTGATAAATGAGAAATGAATAGACTCAGTTTTAATATGACAACCATAGAGGAAGAGGCCACTTGGAAGCCTTTAAGATAGGTGGGAGGATAATATTAAAGTGGAATTTAAGTAAAGAGATCGTGAGTACGTGGACTGGATTGAAGTGGCTCAGGATAGGGCGCAGTGCTGGCACCTTGCGGACACGGTAATGAAACTTCGGCTTCCGTAAATTACTTACCCAGCTGAGTGACTAATGGCCGCCCTATAAGGACTATACTCCATGGAATTAGTTCTGGGCTATCCTAATGTGTGTCATCATCCTCAGCTTATCGATACCGGAGTGAACAAGAATGGAAAGTACAATACATATGTTCCACATACTTTCTTTGCGACTTTAGTACATCATTGGCGGTAGTTTTAATTTGTTGCAGTTGCAGATATGTAGTGGCACAGTTAAATTTATTCATATTTCATAGTTAATGTTTAATTTAAACGATTTAAATCTTGTAGGCGTATCTGATACCCTGCAGACTAGAATGTCTTTACTTCATGATTATCTGTATCACTTGAGGAATGCCGTCTTCTGGGATGTGACGCCGTGTAGATCTTGTGTGACTGCAGCCACCCGCTCACGCTGGTTCCTCGCTCGCGGATATTTATACCCTGAAAATGGAAGCGATATGTTCCTCCGAAACGTCGGTCGTGATTATTGAGATCCTCGCTACTAAGTAACAAGTTTTATTGTTGACCGCGTTACACGAGTTTTCTCCGGTTCCACATCATGATGCTTTGACTAACCCGTCACAGTATAAGACCTAAAAGTTTGTGACGATGGTATATTAATACAAATATAATGTTTTTTAATATTATCCATCATCCTGTCCTGTCCTCTCCGGAAATAGGGACTAGTTCTATCAGTTGGGTCCAACTGCGTAGGTTATACCTGAAGACGGAGATAGAATAGTCTCCGAAACGTTGCTTGGTAAAATAGACAGGCGGTGGATAATGTCAAAAAACATAATACACTTGTCCATCGCCTAATTTTCTGAAAGAACAGCCATTAGGATATATAAAAGTCGTTTCTACTGAGTGCTAATAAACTTCACGATATTAGCATGCTCGAAAATATATACAAATTCCGTGGCCTGTAGTCCGCAAGATAACTATACCGACCGAGCGACCG